GACATTTAGAGCATGTCTGCATCGATTATTAGTTATTTTCAGTATTTCTCACTTTTTGGAGTACCTTGTTGGTCAGTTCTGAAATAGCCATTTCATTTCTGCATTTGCATGAAGAAAAATTGTGCACATTAAGTTGCTCCAACTTGTTACTGTCTGTTTTAGGTGGTAGAATTACAAAACTCCCCAAAAGATTTTAAAAAGCAAACCATATAATTTTGAACCGTTTTTGGTCTTAAAACTATTGGGAGAAGGAGGATGTATCACCACTCCTGCTGTGTTAAATATATCAAATAGTGGAAAAGTTGACTCATTTCTTTCCAAAAAAACATGAAAAAAGAGTAAATAAAGCATTCAGTCAAAATTTACTTTATTTTTGTAAGCTAACTTAGGCATCCCAGATATGTAAAGGTTGACTCCTGGCTCCCACTAACTCACAGGCAGTTATCCAACAGTTGCCCCTGTGTTTGGGCTGTTCTCCACTGTGGGCCTGGAGGATGATTGCTTATTTTAAGAAAAACGCTTCTAAATGTAGGAAGAGAAATATAAATTTATAATGGCTTCTCCTTAGTGTATCCAGTGCACATATTTTCCAGAATATTCTGTGAAATTTTCTGTGAAAAGTAAAAAAAATGGGGATAGGATTTTTACATGGCTTGGGAAGAAGAAAAATCCTTAAATCTGATTGTAGTGTACAGCTTTTGCCCCTCCCTGGCTCATTTTAAGAGCCTGTATCAGCTTGCTCATAAATATCCTAAAAATGTAGAAGTTTTAATTAGAAATTATTAAAAGTTCCAGGCTTAAGAAAACACAGCAAAATAAAAGTGCTGTTTGCCACAGGGCCATTTCAAAGCTGGCAAAGGAGTCATCAGTAAGAAAACAGAGCAAATATTTAACATTTACTTTTAAGTCTATACAGGCATTCTTATTTATTTTACCATGTGGTTATTATTAAGTGCGTTGGCCTGCATCCATCCTTGAAATAAAAAAAAATAAATAAAACAATCCCCTGTAAGCATGCGCAGCTTTGCAGGCTTGCCAGCCCAAATATTTAGACTTCTCTAGTGGTGATGGAGGGTTTGGGGAGCTGAAGTGCGTGTTTGGCTTTGGCACAGGCTAGGACGTGCTCTGTGTCCTTCACCTACAGCCTTTGAGGGGAATCGGCCTGATGGAAATTGTGGAGATGGTTTAGCTTGGGGGCTTTTTTCCATGGCAGTGTTGAGGATTAATACCATGAAGAAAACATCCCCTTCCTTGTCCTCCTCCCCAGCCAGTGCTAACTCACAGCTCATGAAGTCCATTAAGCACCGTCTCTGTGAGTACTACGAGCAAATCTTGTATTAGCCACACGTGTGAGCTCTTTTTGTGCTTCATAAGGAAGTTATTTAACAAGTTTTTCTCATTTTAAATTAAGGCTTTAAAAAAAAAAAATCTCCCCATATATCCTGTGATAGACGTGATTGGGCCCTGATCCCGGTGCAATGACGCACAGTCCTTGGGGGGTTGTGCCCCAAATCCCCGTGAAACACAAACTTCTGCACCAGCATTGGCAGCTGATTTAATGCAAAGGTGCCTGGCAATACACTTAAAAATATATTTCCCCGTGGATAAATTCCAATGCATGTACAGAAGAAAAGAGCTTTCTATGGGATGACTCCAGACAATACAAAAATTCTTTAGATAGAGCAACTTAGATATCCTCAATTAAACTACAGGTTGGCTAAATTTAGGTTAAGATTGGTCAGGAAATTAAATGTGTCCTTTTCCTTTTTTTTCCTTTACAGCCCTTGCTGGTACATCCTAACCACATAAAACGTTAAAATAATTCTCACGTGAGTTTTAAACCCTGTTCCTCTGTGTTTCTTCTCAAAAATGAAATCATCATGATAACAGCTGTTGATTTGCTGAGTCTGAGGGAGAACTGAAATTTTTTAGAGGGCAATTTGTATCACAGAAATTGTGTAAAAAGGAGAGCGTGGATAAGAACAAAACTGGGGCATTCACTGCAGCTGTGTGCTTTCACTGGATTTATATCCAGCTGCATCACAGGCATATAGGAAATAAGACCCTAATTTCCCCCCCCGCCCCCAACACCTTTCCTGTAGTGAAAGGTCATTTTTGCACACTATCTTTAAAATTATACTCTCCCTGCTTTGGTGTAAGGAGTCGAGATCTGAGTCAGCACAGGCCCATCAGCTCTGCTGGATGCATGTTAATACAGAAAACCTTCAGGCCTGGCTCCTGGCATGTATTTTGGGTTGTGGAAGCTGTTTAAGTTGTTCATATATATATTTTAATTCCTCTTCCTGCTCTGCACCACCCCCAAGCCTTCAGGGCATCCATGATCCCACAGTTGGGATGTGCAAGCATCTCCAGAGAGAAACTCTTAACAGCCAACTCCAGTCCACAAAAAGGCACTGTGAAATAAGCAAATTTTAAGGATTTGCTGCTTTTATCTCTTTTCATCTCTGAGTTTATTAAAGTGCAAATGTCAACCATGGAGACAGCTATCACATGCAGTGCAGTACACCGAGAAACACTTTCCACACCATAAATGGAAGGAAAAAGGCTTCGTTGTGATTATCTAATGCACAAAGGACAAAACTGAACCTAGGCTCTGGGCCCTTCCACAACAGCTACCCCCAGAAAGTACTAAAGCCATGAATCTGAAAACAAAACCTTCTCCAGTCTCTGAGTTGACAAAATAGAAAATACCAAGAAGGATGGAGTAATTATAGAACTCAAGGGTTTTTTTTCTGAGTTTCATGTTAATGATATGTTTGAAGGGATGCTTATACTCAGAGCTTTTAAAAGTTCATTACTTTAACAAAAATATTCATAAATACATAATATTATAAATCATAAATGCTCCTTAGAGTATGAATAAAAAAAATTACAGTGGACTAATATGGTTCATCTCTGTCATAGAGCTGAAGTTTGTTTGCCCAAAAGCTGGGCCACGCACACTACAATTATCCTGGGATTCAGTTTTGCTTTGTGCTCTAAAAGAAAAAAACCCAAACAAATGCATTGAGGTACAAAACACGTGAATATAACATGATACAAAACATGCTTTCAGCAACAAGAATAAATATTACCATGTCTACAGTATCTACTTCACAGCTTTTCCAAACTGTAAAAAAAAAAAAACAACCAACCAGAGATGAATCCTACAAATAAACTGTGATTTTTAAATTAAGGCAGCTTCAGCAGGAACTTCAAGGCTTTTGTTGAAAACAGATTTTTGTAACACCAAAAGTGTACTCGTGCTTGCAGGTAGAGCTCTGATTTACAGTCCAGTTCTCCTATTTTGATGATCAAAACGAGCAAAGATCTGTGCATCGAATACCAGGTGTGCTCCCTGCAAAAGTCACTGTTCCGTCAACAGGTGTAATGTGGAAATTCTGAAAACCAGTTCATCTCTTGGGCATGGGAGTGAGGTATCTCTGGATGAATCATTAACTCCATGGCCGGGAGGCAAACTGGAAATTCAGAATTACAAGAAGCTGTTGCTTGTTTTATAAGTGAATGATGAAAAGGGATATATAAGGGAAGGGCTAAGGAAGCCAAAGGAAAGCACTAAATGGAAAGCCCATACCAATGTAACACCTTAAGAAAGGCTACTCTAGGAGGTACATCACATACCTGGAACAAAACCAGAGCCTAAAACCTTCTAGGAAAACACTGTAGGAGCTGGAGCAGGGATTTGTTTGGCTCATCCAGATGTGTGGTTCTTCTTCCCTCTCTCCTCTCAGCTAATAAAAGGGTGAAGCCAAATAATTGCACAACAAATGGTACTTCAAGTATTTAGAAACATGGCCTGCATGTCTCACCGGGGGGACTCTACATGAGCTGGGGAAATTGTGCACCTTGTGAAAGAAAGCTGCGACTTCCAGCAGTCCTAATGTATGTTGAAGGCACGATTTCATGTCCTGCACACAGATCTCTCTTCCTTCTACAGGGGGTGCACACTGATGGTAAAGAGCAGTAAAATGAAAAGGAGTAGACAGAACGGTTATTTTGTTCGAAATTCATCTATTCCAATATGAATGCCATTATAATCACACACAAAAATGTATATACAACAGATACTAACCAGCTGATTCATTTTTTTACAATACTGCCCATATATATAACCCTGTGCTTGTACACACCTTGTGAAATGCTCAAACTGGACACACAGCTGAAGATGCATTTCTGACCCGTTAAGAGAAAAAAAATATCCTGCTGCCTTCACCTGCTCAGCTCCAACTCCCAAAAATAAACCTACCCCAAACCCCTTTAGCACCAAGGCTTTGGCTGGGGAGGGTAGAAGGGCAGGATACTCATGGCTCCCAATCCCACCTCTCCTTCCGTCCCCAGACAAGGCCATGTTGGGTCCAATGGGGTCAGCTAAGCTATTCATGGGCTTTACCTAAAAGAGGGTGTAAAAATAGCATCCCTTTTCTCCAGGTCCTCTTGCATGCTGGGATTAGTGTGTGTGATGGCAGGTGTCCAGGGCACACACCTACTCTGCTGGGTAAATAAAGCTGAGAGGCCAATGACAGGGATGCAACTTACATTTTATACATATATATATATTGTGCATACACATATATATATGTATATATATATATGTGTGTATGCATATATATTTTTTCCAACAAGAACAGTACAAGCTATTTCTGAACTAACTCACCCAGGAGCTGGAGGTTACTGCTGGAGCCTATCTGAACTCTATATCCTTTGCATTTTGTCTCTCTCCCTCTCAGGCTGAAGCAAAGTGTGGGTGAGCTTGTGGCTTGCAAAGCACAGCTGTCCAGTGGCTTCTGAAGAATTGCACTTGGATTAATTCAAGTTTTTGTAGTTCAAATAACATCTACCCTGCTTTTCCCGATGCTTGTGCACGTACCAGCATAACTCAAAAGAGCTGACCACAGTGTAACAGTGTAAAAGTTAAACTTTTCCTCTGGAAAATGTAACTGGAGGTCAGCAGCTTCTTTGCAGCTGGGGAATAGAAAACCTTATTTGAAGGTAAAATAAATAATAAAAAAAAGTAAAAGTTCTCAGGAGTATTTCAAAGTGCAGCACGGATTTGGGTAAGGCTGTAATGGACAGTTCAATCCGATGTGTTCTTTGAGGAGGTACTTCCATCAGTCCTACTCACTCCACTGCCTCTGCTGACACTGAGCAGGAAAGCTGCTTCATCTCTTTATGTCTCTCCACATGTAAAACTGAGTAACTCCTCCTGCCTTCCAGGCAGGACTGGTTTTGCAGATCCACACAGGAGTTAATGTTTGCATGGCTCTAAGAAGATGCCAAGTGCCACAAGGGCTAATTCTACCACCTAGAAATCCCACCTGCCTCCAGGAAGCACATATTTCCTCCCAAGGGCATTTGTTGCTGTTTAATACTATTAGTTCTGCTGGGTAGAAAATCCCAGAGGACAAGAGTCAGTTTAAAAAAAAGACATCTGTACATCTACCTGCTTCTGAACTCCAGATTTTAACGCACCAGCCTCTTATCAAGGGAGCTACAAGTGTTTCCAGGACAAGCAATTTGGCAAGATGCTCAGTTGGGAGTGAAGATTTAAAAAGCCTTTTACATTCCAAATACATTTTACTCATAACTGTTTCCCAGATGGAAATTAATGTCTGTCCCTACGGCCGCTCAGCTGCCCTCTCCTGCTCCTTTCCAAAGGGGCTTATCTCCAGCACCCAAAATCATTTAGGGTTGTTTGCTCTTGTCTCAGCATTGATCCTTGTGGGTCCCTTCCAACTCAGAATATTCTGTGATCCAAAAGCTGTTAAAGGGCTGGGTGTTGCTCAGCTTTGGCTCTGGGGTGGGTATTTTTTTTTGCATGCAGAGTCTGGATTGTCCATCCTTGCCAGGTATGACCTGCTCACACCACAGCACTGGAGAAACATCATCTGACAGCCACCAGACACAGCACCAAAGCCATCCTCCACCCCTGAGTATTTATTTAATAATCATAATATACTAAAAGGCTCATTACAAAACCTAGGAGAACTACAAATATTTCCAGTATTTCTTTTAAAAACAAAACTGTTCTGCTGTGGGTTTATAATCCACCCACTGCTGGGTTGGATTTAATGTTCAAGAGCTCAACAGCAAAACTGATTTTTTTTTTTTGGGAAGCTTTCTATTTTGTGCGACTTCTGGAAAAAAGGGAGCTTTAAGTCACGTTAGTGAGAATCCAAGCACAATCTGTAACAAAAGTAAGGCAATTCTGTGTTTTTTTTAAAAAAAAAGGGACTTCAAGCTGAAAATGTCCATTTAACTGCCAGTAGATGGCAAAAATATCCCATATTTGTCTTGATTACCTTAAATGATTAGTAAAAAAGGTTTAATGTGTTGTTCTCTTCCTTGCTTCTCATAGAAACTTGCAGAAAGTATAAATTAAAGTGCAACTGTACAAAAAAACCTAGAAAAAAACCTCAACGGGTCATAAGAAGCTATCAAAAAGATGGATTAATTTTTTTTCAAGTTGAATGACTGTATACCTGGGACCAGCAAAAGTCCTTTGCTTTGTTTCTTAAAACAGAACATAAAAAAAACCCCCTCAAACAAACACCAAAACCAAACCCTCCACCCAGGATTTTTTTGGCAAAGTTTTCATAAAGCATTTGTTCCTTGACTGATGAGACAATTACTTTGCAATCAAGTAAATGGAATTAAATACCACAGCAAAGCCAAACAGATGCCAATGCTGCCCATTAGATTAAGCCTGTGTAATAAAAAATAATTCTTTTAAACAAAGAAGTCACACATGCTTTAGGGTTTACCCTTGAATAACAAGAATTTAACCTTAAAAATCCCAGTAGTTTGTCTTAAAAAAAAAAAATATCCCATCCCTCAGATAGCCAGTAGTAAAGAAACAGTAAAACTCTGGATTTGGATATCCCTGCCTTATCAGCGGAGTGGTGAAGGTCACAGTCCAGTGGGCAGCAGCAGGACAGGAGAGCCCTTCAGCATGAAAAGCAAGTCTCTGGCAGCACGAAGAGGTGAGCAGGGGAGGGCGGGAAGGCAGATTTGGCAGTGATTTTAGGGTGGTGACAGCAGGCAGAGGCTTCCTACAGAAAGGTGAGAGGTAAATGCTTTGGAGCCATGCGATGCTGCCGGCTCTCGCCCGGCAGTGATGATCCCACCCTCGGGCGAAGTGTGGGAAAAGCACTGGGTTTCTGGGTGAGTGATTGGCATCCTGCCCTCAATTGGTGGCTCACCTGAACCCTGCTTGGGATTCAGCCCCTGGAGATGGTGGTGCAGCAGGGGGGAGTGAGGAGGTTGGATAGGGATGGAGATTAAGAGCTGGAAAAAAGGCAAGCTGCCTTCAGCTCCGAACGTGGTGAGCAGGTCAGTGCTGTCCGGAGCTCTCAGAGGAAACAAAGCACCTTAGGGACTCTCCTCTGCAAAGACTTGACACATGGAGACTTCCCCATGGCACATTTGCAACAGGACCTTTGCACATCCCACTTTCCCTCCCTATCTTTAGAAGGGGGAAAAAGAGGGGAAGGAGGTCATATTGCACTAGTGCAGAAACGTCTAAGTAGCTGCTACTTTTGGGAGAAAAGTGTTACCAGAGGCTACACCCTGGTGTGAACCTGCATAGCTACTTCATTATCCCTCAGCTCCATTTCAGGTAGCTCCTGGTTGATCCCTCTGACCTGGCCCAGCCCATCTTGCCCCTGCTCTACACAGCAACATAGAAACTCTGACCTCCCTGAACACGGTCTACATTGCAGGAAGCTTGGCCATGGCTCCACTAACTCAGGATGAACCAGGGGGGAGGCATCTTCCAAAAACTCAGTGATAATTTGCTACTTTACAGCTACGCCAACATTTCCCATTGGGTTCACTAGGGATAAAAAAGGGGTATTGGATACATTTCACCAAGCATAAAGAGTGAAATGAAGTTATCTTAATTTCCTCAGTGCCTTGTTAGAGGGGAGCATGTTTTGGGTCTGGGCCTGGCTCAGACAGGCTGTGGAGTGGTGAGGGAGCAGAAGAGGAACAACAAAGCAAAAGAAACAAGGGACAGACAAGTCAGACCAGATCCTCACAGTGCAATACCGTGTGCGGAGGGACTGGTGCCTCGCCAGCACCCATCAGCGAGCCAGGGCCATGATCAGGCTGGCACACATCTCGAAGAAGTCCATGGTGTGGCTGCCCAGGCGTGGGGTCACCGAGGGGATGCTGCCAACGAAGGAGCCGCTCAGGGAGCCCATCAGGGACTGGTACTCGGTGGATGCGGCGGCGTCAATGCTCAGCCTTGGACGGTGCAAGCCGGCGGCAGAGCAGGAGCGCTGTGGTGTGGAAGAGCCTGACCTCTGCTCCATCACTTCGTCTGGAAAATCAAAAAAAAAAGAAAAAAAAAAAGAAAAAGAAGTGGAATTAATTTGGCACCTGCATCGCAGGTTTGGTAAGGGACTACTAACAGTAGTGGAGACAAATGGATCAAAAGGGCTTTCGCTGACTTGAAACAGCTGCATAAGCACTTCAAAATGCAGAGAGTGGTTTTTAAACTTCCAGCCTTGCCGTTCTATGTGTTTCACATCTCCCACAGCACCATTTCCTACTTACCATCGATGCTTTTGAAGTCCAGGAGATAGCTGCGGTTGTCCACCTGGTAGAGCTGCAGGCTCATCTTCACGTAATTGCCCGTCACCGGGTTCTTGCGGCGCACCCTCAGGTGGTAGGCGTTCACCACCTGCAATGGGAAACCTCCTTTCAGGAGTAAGATTCAAGACAGCAAGAAGAACATTTCTTTCCCTATTTTCTCTAAATACAAGCAAGACACGTTCTGGGAAAAACACAGTTTCTAAGAAGAACAGTGCTGACAAAATTAAGCAAATGGCTTCATTTCTTATTTCCTCCTATCTTTAAAAATTATTTTAGGGCTCTGATTCACCAGCTGCTTGGCAGAGAAAGCTGCTGTGACCCATCTGCCAGGCACCAAACTGAAGTTTGCTCCTCCCTCACCACCAGCCATGGCCATATGAGCCAAAAAGTCCTCTTGTGGACCCACGTACAAGGACAGTGTCCATGAAACCAGGGCAAGCTGGGCAGAGCGACCTCTCCCATCAGCGCAGCTAAATCCAGTGTTTGTGGATCAGCCTCAAGCTGTGTATTTTCCCTTGCTGCTTCCCACCTCACAATCTGCTGCATCTCATTTACAATGAGATCTTTTCTCTGCACTATATTTATGAACCAACTGCGTGGATGGGAAAGCTATTCTGATGAAGAGTCACATCTGAAGTTATTCTTAGGCTGGGAAAGACTATTGTGAAACCTCCTCATACGAAATAATCTCCACTGCCCACATGAAGACGTTGGGCTGACTTTGTGCAGCTGTACCAGAAATACAGGAGATTTGTTCACTCTCTGTAACCATGCAGCTAACAAATGTCTGGCTGGTGGACCTGGCGACAGCCCATCTCCTGGCTGGTGCAGTGAAATCAGGCTTCTGGGAGCTACTTGGCTTTAAAGATGTAATATTATCAAAAATAAGGAGGAGACAGGAGGCTACAGAGAAGCAGCACAGTGACATTCACACTGTACAAGGCTTGGGACCTGAAGCGAGGAGGGCAATTCCTCTGGTGATGAAGATCTGGGCTGAAATTCTCCTTACCTTGCTCCTGATGCTCGCACAAGGCTGCTGCGAAAGGCCCACGAGTCAGGAGAGCTCACCTCAGGGGCTGCACCAAGATTTAGGGAATCAGGCTCAGCAGCAGATATTCAGGGCTAACTCAGGGGTTTATTATTCCAACTTTGAAAAAGATTATGACTAAACGTGTAGCTCTGGAGAAATATCTAGAGTGAGTACTGTCAACTAAAACATCTGGGCTTAAATCAAGAAGCTGAGCCCCAAACTGAGGAGGCAGTAAGGGTCGAAAGCACATCTGTCCACAAGCACCACTCCATCTCCATTGAGGAAAAGACGCAGTCAATGATACAAATCCTGCCCCCAAGGCCCCCGCCCCTTATCTGTGCATCTTTAAGGAAGATGAATGCTGTGCCATTTCAGCACACAGACTGAGGGGACCAGGCAGAAATAATGAGAGTTCCTTTCCTCAGAAGCACTCAAGATGACCTTGCAAGGAATTAGCCACTAAAATTAGAAATGTGAACAGCTCCTCTTATACCCACAGCTAAAAGAGGCAGAATCATCTTTCCAGCCAAAGGCTTAGAGCACTCAGAAAGAAAACTCTTATTTCACGCCCTAAATAAACACCACAAGCACTGAAGCACAGTTGGCACCTTAATTCACTGTGTCTCTATTAACAAGAAATAGCAGGATGATTGCAAGGTGGGGGCATTTATTTGGAAACAGGTAAGGCTTGTAACCACACTTATAAACCTCCCTGAGCAATTCAGATCATGAGAAAATGATGAAAAGCACCACAGAGCACCAGCACTCCCTACCTTCCACTCGAAGTCCAGCTGTTTCATAGCCCGGTACACCTCAGCCATAATGTCATAGGGTTTGCTCTGGCTGCGGATTCCCAGGTGCCACTTGGCCTTTTTGACAGTCAGGGGTTTTGGCTTTGTGGTGTTGAGGGCATCGAGAGGACACCGCGCCTTGGGGCTGTCCGCTATCAACGGCGGCATCCGCTCGGGGTGCGGCTTCACCCCAGGAGGGATGTGCATGGCACTGTCGTCCATGAAGGAGCCGGTGGGGGGGCTGGAGGCAAGGTAGAACTCGCTGGCCTGGTTCATGATCCTCCTGTTGTCGATGACAAGGTGATAAGCCACTGCCAACTGGTCCTGAGGGTCACCGCTGTACAGGCTGTTCATCACCTCCGACTCCGTGCACTCAAACTTCTCACACACTTCCCGAACCGCGTCGTCATCGATGACGGTGGCATCGTAAGAAGGGTCCTCTGGGAACAAGTAACTGGGCAGCTCCTCCTTAAACCACTCATGTTCCCTGGGGAATACAGAGAGGACCCACCATGAGCTCTGTGTGAAGCAACCACTGCCACCAGTCCCTCACTGGCTCTAGCCAAGACCTATCCTCAGCTGCTGACTGGAGAGCTCGACCCAGCCCTGCACAGTCCCCCCAGTACCGGAACAGCAATGACACTCTGCTCACTGGGCTCTGAAGTACGACCTCTGCACTTCTGAGATTCTCACACTTTTGGAATCCCATGGGTCTGATAGAGATACAGAGCATCAAAGCTATCCAGGTACCCATTTCCCACCGATTTACAGTGAAGCCAATGAATTAAGTGTCTAAAAGCCATGCAGTGCCTTGTCTGTATGTTCTATGTATCAACAGTAATCTCACCATATGTGCTGCTGCTTTAACATGCAATTAAATCCTCTACTTTTAAGGCATTAAGAAATAAAAAAAGGGCAGTTCACATGGTTTTACTTGAAGGGTAAAATTAAGGCCATCCACTGAAAATGCATTAAAAACCTAAGAACGCCTGAAAGTCGTAGAAACATTTATGTTAAGCTTAGCACACCAGCTAAACGTAATGATTACTATAAATTTCATAAAATGTATATCAGGCTCAAGTTTTACAAAATGTTTCCAAAATGGCTCAGACTGTGAGAATTTTGAAGTGCTACTAGCAGCCATGAACTTTTAATGATCTCTACAGACAAAAATATCTGCTTAAGAACCCAACTGTTTCCTTTACCTGGAATTTCCACAGTGATGCATTGTGCTCACTGACTAGATAAAAAAAACTATACTGTATTTAAAAATGAACCATTTGCATACACGTTAAATTATACCCAATATTTATAGATTAAGTTAGTAATTCTTGTTCTTCTCCTCCTTTTTTTATTGGATAGACAGTAAGTACAATGATTACCCTCTTATTCTGAACTACCTAAGAAGGAGGCGGTCTTGAAATAAAATAATGAAAAACGGCTGGTGGATATTAAGTTCTTAGGATTATTCCACGCTATAGCTGGTTTTGCTAAGTGATACTAAGAGATTTTTGAGGCTATTTTATATAGAAATATATATGTATATAAAATATACATAAATTCATCACTCTGTTCATCACCCCCTGCCTGCCAGCAGCACCCAAGTCTCCAACATCACAGAAGAGTGCAGGACTGCTCCTTGAATCACTTGGAACAAAAGCCATCTGGATTAGCTGACTACTTCTGTAAACCACCTGGTCCACGTGCCAGCAGGTGACCCCCAGGACAGTCACCATCCCCTGCCTCCGGAGCCCCCCAGAGGCAGCCAGCCCACCCCAGCCCACCTGAGCTGACCTGATGTCCTTGATAGTTGCTCGCTTGAGGGGGTCAACCTGCAGCATGTGCATGAGGAGAGTGGCAACGGAGCGGTTGAGGTATTCAGGGATGTAAAACACACCTCCCCGGATCTTCTTGAAGAGGGTGGGGACATGCTCGTCGTCAAAAGGCAGAGTGCCACAGAGAAGGGCGTAGAGGATAACACCACAGCTCCAGATGTCCACCTCTGGGCCAGCATACAGTCTGCACGAGGGCAAGGGTAGGAGAAACTTGTTACCTCCCATCCTCTCCTTAGTTAGGGTGCAGATCCCACTGAGAGAGCTGGGGACCCCCTGCCAGCTCCACCAGGGACAGAGCTGCAGCACATCCTGGGGCTGCTCATGTGGCTTCCCCCTACCAAACCTGCTTAAGCAAAAATTACTCAGGGAAATGACATGGCAGAGCTGGCATTGGCTGCCCACACTTCTCTGGACAGCCACGTACACCCCTGCCTCTCCAAAAAGCCAAACCCTACATTTCTAAGAGCTCTGCCAGGCTCTTTGCTCCTCTGCTCCAAGGGCTCAGACAGAAATTTCTGTTCATTCAGCAAGGCAGATCAAAGAGCAGCATATACTCTGTCTCTGAGTGTTTATTTTTGGTGGAAGTTCATGTGCTGGTATGCAAGTGCTCCTGCTTCCGACAAGCTGCTAATGTGCTCCCTGGCATCACCAAGTAGGGACACCCCAAATATGCAGGATTTGCTGCTGTTTGTCCAATTTGCTTATCTCTTTTTGCTACAACTAATGCTTTTTCAGAGATTTTGAGAGGCAGTGCTTACCCTTGGGCTGTGAAACCCTACCAAAATACAGAAGTTGAAACAGAAATACAGAAGTCTCTTCATGAAACCTGCTCCTCCTGAAAAGCATTACTGAAGATACAACAGCGTAGTAAAAGCATTGGTCATTGGTCAACCATAAGCAAACCATCAAGTAAAAGCACTGGTCAACCATTTTCTGAATACCCTCAAAACAGTAGATCTTCTTGTCCAAGGGTGAGACATTCCCAGCCAGGGACAGCAGTAAAGTAATTTTGAAAGGCAGATCATCAGCTAGATGCCCCCTCAGTCCTGCCTCCATGCCTGATTCCCATAGATCAGAAGCCTGATTCTTTTGCTGATAACTGCACTGCATGAACAGTCTTTTGGACTTTTAAACCAAAATGAGATGCACTTTAATGACTCTGAAACCTGAGCTGTCATGCTCTACTGTTTTGTGCACTACAAGGAAAGGCAGCAGGAGCCAGGACTCAGCTCCCCCCTGCCCCACACACCCACCAGCAAAGCAGGAAGAGTGGATCATGCCTTTCCCACCCAAATGCAGCTCTCACATGCTGCTATAGCTCTGAGAAGAGGGTATCTTGGCACATCAACCAGGAGTGTGAAACTCGGGCATCCCTGATTCCGATCCCACTGTAAGTAGGACCAATGCAGGAATGATGCAGCTGCAGCCAATGAAAAAGTCCAACATGTAGGCTTGGTTTTGGTTTTCTTTCTTACTTTTGTTGTTATTAAGCTGTATTGCCTGTACCCATGGAATGATCAGGCTCTGCACACAGGGACTAAATCCTTCTTGCTAATCTGCCGTGTGCCTTGTCTCCTATACAAACTGAAAAACGTGTCTGGCCTTTATTTAAAAGGATATGGAAATACTATTAATATTTTTTGGCATCCCAGTAGAGTTTCTGGCTTTGTCCCCCTCTTGACAATGAGGATTTACTTGATTTCACACATAAAGCTGTAGTCACAACAGGTTTTTGGATGCTAGTCTAATTCCTATGATATTCTGCCAACACTTGCAGTGGTGTAAACAGGGATAAAATAACCATAATCACAGCAAACACACTCTGAACAAAATGTTGTATTTAAAAGCTACGATTATAGGCAAAAAGAACACTGAATTAGGAAAAGTAATGCTCATATAAAGGGCACTTCAAAGATATGGGGCAAACAATGAGATGGGCAGTTTGAAGGACCACACAGAGAACTGAAAATCTGAAAATCTGTATTTGCAATCCTTGCTATGCTATTACAGAGAGAATTAGGGAAATATGTACATTCTATGTAATTTCTATTCCTGACAATAAAATATAGGAGGTAACATTTCTGTATCAACATGTAAATGTCCAATTCAACCTTGTGGAGTGCATTCAACACTCCATGTGCTGTACAGATGTTGCACGCTGAGAGATGCAACCACAGTGGAGGTTTGTCAATTCAATTCATCAGTTCAAAACAAAGCTCCAATGGTTGAACCTACTGCCAGGACCAAAACCCTAGCTTAAGGAACCAGAAGACAAGTATTTTCAACGCAAGAGTTTCAACAGCGCTGGGAAGTGATTAAAGATCTTCCTGGTTCTTCTGTTAGTGAATGGTTTTCCTCATTAACACTGTGTTTTATATCACAGGTGGGCAGGAGAGGAGGGGGGTGGCCTGGAAAAGCCTTACCATCTGGAACCTCTGTATCTGCATCCAAAGAGTAATTTTCACCCTCTTTAATTAATATAAACAGTCAACATCTGGTATTAATAATCCCTCCAAAGTAAACACTTTTAGCAAAACATGGTTTGCTATTACAGTTATTGAGAAATAAAACAACCAAAAAAACTTTCAGATCTTTGCCTGTATATTCAACCAAACATAAAACACAGGTTGGAAGGACTCAGCTGCTTTTACTAAATTTGCAAACCTGTTTTCAGTGCCAAGAACAAATTTGAAGTCCATGTGCTTACATAGGCTCTGATTAGAAATGGAATGTCCTACCTGCCAGAGATTACTTCAGGGGCTGCATAATTTGGGGAACCACAGCTGGTGCGTAGAAATTCGCCATCTGACATCATGTTGGACAATCCTAAAAACAAGATGTTTATTACATACTGATGTTTGACCTGAAGGTCCAGGTACAGAGGACTCCTGGTGCACAGAGGAGGAGAGGTATAGCAAGCGGAGGGGGAAATTTGGAGAGGAACTGTTGACATAATTTAGATAGACTCCTTCAAGATGGTTTGCATATTATTATTATTATTATCTGCATCATCATCATTATTGTCATTATTGGTTTTTTCCCATCCAACCAAGGAATATTCACTCCAGGCTAATTTTGCTTCTCTAAGCTGCAAATACCAGAACACAGAGGAAAACAGACATAATTCATCCCAGAGCAGTCACTTTATAAGGGAATTAGGTGGAGTTGTGAAATGAGTAAATCTTCAGAAGGATTTATCACTGCTAGAAAGGACTCACCAGGACAGAGCTGGTAGCCTGGGTATTTTAATGGATTTCAATCAGTAATGCCACTTAAAGACTCCTGTTACTGCTCGTTGTAAAATGAAGTGAGGCCAAGAGCACATGGCCAAACGTACTGAGAACATGCATGAAAATAAACACACACAGCCAGCTCACCCTGGATTAACTGCACAGAGTCTGTCTTAAACATAAATTAGTTAAATCTTTATGTTAGGTGATTATACTAAAACATAGCAAGATTTACAAATTACTTGGCTGCTCCACTCTGAGTGCCAGTACAGAAGCAGCCTACAATAAGTAATCCCTGCCTTTGCAAAAAGGCCAGTGTTTATAACTGTGGGCTTTTCAGGTAGAGCAACTGGTGGTGGTTAGGGAAGCAGGCTCTGGATTTTGTAAGGAGTGCTACACGGACACGCTCCAGCAAGCACCGCGGGGCTGGCTGCGCTCCTGGAATGCTGCTGGGGTCACATACCAAAATCAGCTATCTTTGCATTCATGTGTGCGTCCAGCAGCACGTTCTCTGGTTTCAGGTCTCGGTGGACAACCATGTGTCTGTGGCAGTAATCCACCGCCGAGAGAATCTGCTGGAAAAGGCGTCGAGCTTCTGCCTCTTCAACCTGTGGGCACAAAGAGAAACAGCCCTGAAGGTTGGTCTGCCTGCAGAGCTGGCAGGGGAAGGTTTGACTTAGCAAGGAGCCAAAACGTTCCAGGGTGCAGAGAGAAAATCACAGCGTGCCTGTGACCAGAAGCAGCAAATAAAGCAGATTTCTCACCCTTGTATTTTATAGCGTGTTAGTGTTTGTAAAACATACAGCCCAGAGATGAAACGTGAAACTTCAGTTTAGGTGAGCTATCAGGAAGAACTTAAAGGTGGCACCTATTAGACAATGGCCTGCAGATCCAGACTGGACAAAACACCACAGAGGATGTTGCTGGGAGCAATTCCTCATGGACAGATGGCTTTGGAAGCAAGAAGGTGGAATGTTGTGACAATTTTAGTTAGCTATATAGCTAGATAAGCTATGAAGCTGTATGAGCTGTATTAGGGAAATTATATTTTAAATGACTGTTTATTTTTACTGATGAATTCTGAAAGAATCCCCTCATGAAAAATTGAGTTTCTGAATGGAAAAGTTCAGAAAGGATCCAAATTAGTAAGTGAAAAGATCTGGGTTTGTAAAATGTGTGAGAAATCAGAACTGTACATACAAAAGCAGTAGAGTCAGCTCCATCGACCACTGCACTAATCTAAACCAATCTGCTGTAAATGTATTGATTTTCTAGTACAGAGAGGAAATGTGTGATGGGCTGATCCTGCACCTGAAGCCTTATTCTGGATGTCCATTTCAGCCCATTTTTATCTCCTTGTCCTGCGACTGCTCCCTGCCTACAAGGATGTCCATGGAGCAGACACCAGTGATTTTCTTTATAACCATAATACGCATTTCATGGGCTTAACCTACACCTTGGGTGATTTATACTCAGTTGGATTACTGGCATTTGAAAATGTTGTTCAGATAAGCCACATCCTTAAAATGTCTTCAAAGAACCTGACATGGAGCCAAGGGGAGCTCTGGGACAGATGAATGACTGGGGCGGAGAACACACTGAGTGGTCTTCCTCTCTAATGCCTTAAATTTGCTGCTGAACCATGCGGGTTTTGACAGGCAATCCACAGCTAAAAATTACAAAAATAAGCAAGTTTTCCAAATATTTTCACTAAGCAACATGTTACCTTGGATATTTTGGTTTGAGTATGGAAATACACCAGACAACGTTGCAAAAAATCACACACAACTTTAGTGCGAGCCGGGTACGAGACACTCCAGACGGGATTGCTGTGAAGCAACTTCTATTTTGGGCCTTAACCTTAGCTGTGTTCCCCTTAGCAGTAGTTTTGCTTCTAAACACCATCCCCTTCCCACATAGGTATTTGGGCTGACATGGTACTGGCACTTACACGTCCGTGCTTACAGATGTAATCAAATAATTCCCCACCAGATACATATTCCATGACCATGAAGAAGTCTGTTGGTGTGCTGATGACCTGGTACCTTCAAAAACACAAGTGGATTTAGAAAAAAAATAATTAAGAACAGGGAAAGGCTTCTAAACAGATTATTAATTTTACATCAATGCTTAGAATAAGCATTTATTTGGATCTTACCTTTCTAATTGTTTTCCACTCCTGAAAAGCCATCTCTTATTTCCAGTATAATCTTTCACTTGTCTGTGAAAGGTCCTCTTTTAAAAACCTATGATTTCCCTTCAACCTTTTTAATACTCCTCTGAACTCTCTGCTAGGTAATCTTACCATATTTAGGACTGTCCTGACTTTCAAATTTCCATTTTGGGTAAGATGTGCATCAACAGCTTTAGAAACGAAGGCTTGGTTAGCTGAAGGCAGAGAGAGGGTACATCTGCTTTCCCTCATATCAAGGATAAAGAAGAACTCTAGGGAGTCTCTTTTGGACAGGTACAGAAACAAAGATCAGACCTCCAAAAAGTTATTTTTCAAATATAAATTCCTCTATATTCTAGAATGGGGGAAAAAAAAAAACCAAGTATCACCTTTGACTTGCAAATTTATTCTCCATTTTCATTCAAAATTATCCCTGAGCGCTGCAAGGGCATTTCAGTGTCCCAGCTGGAATAAACTGCCAGTGATCAGCTGAGGTCAATGCAGCCCCAGGAATTCATAGCAGCACCAGCTGAGACCTCCCTTTCTTTTCTTTCAGATTCATTGTTTTATTGTTGGCTTTTTTTTTTTTTTTTGCAAATGAATTTCATGATTTTTTACAGCTGGGTTGTAATATGAAACAAACAGATTTCAAACAATTTTCAGAAATCAGCAAGGGAACATGTGATAGTTCCACAAAGATCAATAGCATCAATCTCATTTTTCTGAAGACATCTAAGTTGCTGTTAATTGCCCAAGTATTTCTTTTATATACATTTCAAAAGTTATTGAAAGAGGAGGTTTATGTACCACAGTCTCCTCCTCACCTCTTTTCTTTATCACTGTATTCCATGATTGCAATGTGTACCAGAGGAAGTACTGAAATTGCCAAATGGGTTTAATTTTTAGGTTTTAATACTTTGACGAATGTGCGAACAGGACTTAACTTGCAGGATGCTGGATATGCAGCTGAGGAGTCTTGCTGGTTTTTTCATGAAATAATACCAACCTGTTCTCCAATAAATCCATGGAACTGTGAAGTTACTCTAAAGTCAACAGTTGCTGCATGGTTAGTTATTTAACTGTAGAGAGAATTTGTTTTCCCTTGCCTCTAAGTCCCAGGTATTTGCTGTATCTCATGCCAGTTTTAAGGCTGACCTAAATGTCAACTTATCCTTAGAGTTACCATTCAACCGCTTTCTTTCATAGAAATGCCAAAGATATTATCAAGTGCCTCATTAATGTGGACTGGCTGCACAAACTAGGGATTGAGAAGGAATCCCAGAGCTGGAATGCAGGTGCTGATTTACAACTTAAACTCAGGTTGATCAAAGTGGCAACTTCCAAAACTCATGTCTGAATAATAAATTTTTAAAAAATGTTCTTTTAAGCTCTGGATAATCAGTCCATTAAAACATAAATCCTATTGACTGGAGGCCAAGGCTTCACTCTGTGAGCCTGACCGTGCTGCAATTCATGGAATCATAGAATGGTTTGGGTTGGAAGGGACATTAAAGACCATCTAGTTCCAACCCCCCTGCCATGGGCAGGGCACTTTCAACCAGACCAGGTTTTTAAAACACTGTCCAACCTGGCCTTGAACACTTCCAGGGATGGGGCAGCCACAGCTTCTCTGGGCAACCTGTGCCAGTGCATGTTCCAACATGCAAAAACTTGACAAAATACATTTTTTACTACTCTAAGCCATCTCCTGAAATGAAGCCAACTGCATACGAGAGGCCTTTGCAGACAGAGGACTAAGCTGAAAGGGTACTTACAGTTTGATAATGTGAGGGTGCCGGAAGAGTTTAAGGTTTTGAATTTCTCGTTTGATCTTCCCAACCACATCCAGGCTGCGGATTTTCTGTCTGTTCAGTATTTTTACTGCTACTTTGTGCCCTGTCAGCTGGTGTTCACCAACTATTAGAAAGAGAGCATTGCAAAGTCACTAAACAGTGAAGCAAGAGTCATGCCAGCAGTTCAGCACACTGTGATTTATAAGCAAAGAGCCACTCCTGAAGGGAAAAAAGAAAAAGACGAGGGCGTAAAATATTTTAAAATTGTGTTTTGTCTCTTCACTCCATGTTTTCCCAGTGGAGTCATAGAATACAGAATAGAGGGGACTTATCTGCCAAAAACACTGCAGTAAATAAAACAGAGTGAGTTACTGGAGGAGGTCATACCCTGAGCTAATTTGCAAGGATTTATAGCATGTAAAAGCTAGATTAATCAGAAACAGATATATTTAAAAGGCAGAAGAGAATCTCCACTGTCACACTGACTGACTAAATCCCTAATAAACCCAGTCTTAAAACTAGACCATCATACTTCTTTTTAAAAAAATTATATAGGGATTTTCCCTGCCCAAAATAGGACTGCAGGATTTGCATTACTAAAATGAATTTCTATTTATACTTCCTCGAGCGTGCTCCCTGGTTTGATGACAAGCTGCAGGAACGCTGCTGGACTGCAGGAGCAAATTCTGCTTTTAGGAAAGATGCAAACTTCAATATGGGGTTTTATAAAATGCACTTAGTTCACTGAGATGCTGATGCTTATCTACTGTGTTCAGGGACAAACCGTAACCACAAACTGGGAGCAGCACCACTGTCACTGGGGGAGTTGTAATTAATAATGTGAAATGACTTCAGTATGTGATCCATTTGTTATCAGACTACACAAAAAAATAAAAAGCCCCTAGGAAGCAAGATTTATATTGAAGTTAAGAGCAGAAACTGCTTGAAAACTGTCAATTGGATGTTTATATCTAAAAAAGGTTCTTTGTCCATGAGCTACCCCTTCTCAGTATTTTCCAATGTGATATTAACATGGTGACATATGGATGGTTTCCTCAAGGCTGCGCAGAAAACCTGCTTACAGTAAATATTTGTGCTCTCTAATCATGAACGTTACCCTTCCAGTAATAACACAGAGCTCAAGGAGTTAATTAGCATGAGTAAACCTTGTTATTACATTATTAAAGCCTGTAATTTTGGAGGCTCTAATGAACTGATCAGAAGCAAATGGTGTGAGAAGGGCAGGGCGGCAGCATCGGCACCGCTCAGGGCACACCAGGTCACTATTATTAGCGACCAGATAAGACCTGCCAGAGATTCTTTCCTCAGTAAGAGTATCCTAAAAATAAAACACTTTACTGCCCTTGAAAATTAAAGCACCACTTTGCATGTCCATTTTATTCCTCGTAATACTTAAAACTACTAGATGAAATGAAAATAAACTCAGCTTTGCAGTATAGATGCAATTTAGGGATTAGCTGAAGGCTGGAGGAGACAGATAATTCCTCTTGTGCAGTGCAAGGAGAGGGCTGTAAATAGTCCAAGGAGGCATTTTCCCTGGTGTATCCTTAGGGAGAAGAGAGCAGGGCAGTGCTGGGGTTGCCCCCATGGCAGGGAGGCTCTGCTGGAGCAAAGGTGGGCACAATAGCACATGTGCAAGGGGTACAAAACCAAGGGGCTTGCAGGGGGGCTGGGATACAGCCTCTTCATTCCCTGCAAGCAATTCTCTGCCAGTTGTGCCAAGAGTAGTCTTATAAAGGGCACTGATCTCTCTTTGCCAAGGCTGTCAGGGTATATGCACAGTATATGTTACACTGAGGAGGCTGGGGAAGCATGACAGAAAGGTGCAAGACAACTTCAGCACGACATCTTCGAGATCAAGTCTTTTCCCAGTAGTATTTCATTAGGTCAACTATAGCTCTTTCTTTCCTGGGAGCACAAAAAAAAGCTACTTTGCAAGCTGCCCCTGATTAATTCAGCTCCATTAAAGAATTATAACACACTAAGCCATTAGTTGGGAAACTGAGGAACAGCAAAGCAAAGAGGTTTATCGCCGAACAAGGACAAAAACCCTGATTTCTGCCACCCTTTGTTTCAGGACAACCCTTTCTGGCCTTATTTCAGCATATGCTTTGAAAAATTTTTATTATACACTTGAGGAAAAAAAAAATTCCCATGCCTGGAATGAATAATTACTGTTTTTAATACTATTGCCAAACAGTTCATCCCCTTTCCATCCGTGACAAACAATGTGTAACTCCACGAAGGTTTGCTAGCACAAACACATTAATAATTAAAAATAAACAGTCTATTTTGTAATCCATCTTTTGCTTACAGTAAGCATTAGATACAGAGATATTATTGTTTCTGTCCCCAGTGACTTGTTAAGCCTCCTTGAACGCTGAGAGAGAGAGACAAAGAGAGAACACAACCTCCTATGTGGTGGGAGACTTTTAAGCCTTTGAGGTCTCTCTAGCTACAGCCTGTAGTTGCAAGAATTTTGACATGGGCAGGAAGGACAATCTTCTCTCTGCCCACAAAGTCACTGTCTGACCCCATACACTGGAGCACACTGGTGGGATGATCTGGCCCCAGGATCACTCAGCAGTGGCAGGTCCCATATTTCCCACAGGTGTGGAAGAGGATGCTTGTGCAGCTCCTCTGGGTTTGTCTTCTCACCCCAAGGGTGGGCAATGGTGGCCTTGGTTGGTGTTCAAAAAGCCTCCTCCCTCCCTCCCTCTCACTCCCTCCTCGGATTAAAAGCCCAGTGGGAGGAGGGAGGGCTAAGCAGCAGCATTAGACAGGGGATTGAGCATGTCTTGTCTTTTAGTGACAGGGACTCAGGTAAGCTCCACCAGAGCTTAAAACTAGCAACTAGGACTCTGCTGGAGTGAGCAGGGGAGATGGATTCAACACTGAGATGAGGAGCGGCAAAAAAACCAAACAGCCATAAGGGTCAGGTGGCAATACTGACCCTAAACTCCAAAATACAGCACCAAACAGGACACAGTGTGAGTGTCCTTGTCTGCTACCCATCTGCTCACACGTGTGACTGTGTGACAAGAACACTTCAGCATCAGATGCTCTTACAAAGGGGAGAGGTATAATAGAATTAGTTTTGAAGAGAAGACTCTTCTCATTTACTTAGTCTCATAAGAGAAAAAACGAGGAGGAATAGTGATTATAGTACCATAAGCATAGATAACAATTAAAAACCCTTGACAGCATGTTTCTTTACAGCATGTTTTTTAACTCTTGCAAATGATTCAGGGGAATGTAAAAGTTTATGAAGGGGAGAGAAAACTCCTTTCCTATCAGCTGTGCTGGCCCTTATCTCAGCCTAAAGTTAAAAATGAAATCCATCCAAACCATATATTTAGCAAAGCTGTATAAATTCTGACCCAGAGCCACTTGCTCATATGTTATACCACCCTTCCTTTCCCTTTCCTTTATCTGCTCAGTCTCCTTTAGCTTATCACCCCTCTGACACAAGGTGTCCTTCAGCAGCAACGCTACAGTGCCTGGAAAAACAGGATCTGATCCCAACTGAAGGCCACGGAGGTGTCATCATAACAAACATAAACATAACCCAAGCACTGCCAGTCCTTGAGGGACCACAAACTGGTCACCTCAGTGGCAAATAAGTGCGGGTGAGAAACCACCAGGGTCCCCGGGGATGTCATGCATGGCACCACGTGGAAAAATATTTGGGTTACTTCACCGGATTTTGACTGAAGCTCTCCAAGCTGCATCCACTGTGAACCTCATTGTGTGACAGCTGTGGTCAGGGGAGAGCTTCTGGGGACCAGAAGGGTAGAACGTACTCATGACAAACACAGTTTGTCTAATCTATTCTTACCAACCCTCAGAGGAGGAGATGCCACCTCCTTCCTTCAATGCTTAGCTAAACTCAACGTCCAGGATCTTCTTCACGGTTCTATTTCTGCAAATTAATCTTACCTTTGGCCTGGAGGACAGGGAAAATAACTATACTTGGCAAAATCCTGTGTAATAATGTCGATCCTTGGCATGAGACCTCCTATCCATTCACCACATCAGCTCCTGACACGTTCCTCTCTTCTAACAGATGCTGTATCCTCATCACCATTTCCAGCTGAAATGTCAGTATTATCACCAAAATCTTGCTCTCATCTGCCAACCTATTTACTCCCTTCCATGCCTTGTGTGGGCTTTCTGTAAATGGGATCAAGAAACTGCATGGGCTTAAAGCAAATAGTTTCTTGCAGTGTTCAGCTAGTTTTTAGGAGGATCAGTTCCCTGATGACCCAGACAGTGCTGAGCCAGAAGAAACATCCCAACAGGGGCAAGGACCTTTGCTGTCACATCTCTGGTTTCTAATGGCTCAAAGTCACTGTTCAGCTCCAGCCATAAATTCAAGTTCTGGTTAGTAACCAATGTCACTAAACCCTTCCTAAAAAAATTGCCTTTTTTTTATTTCCTTAATAACAGTAACCCTTAAAAATAGTAAATTATGATTCATTAACCTTGAGGAGTAAGGCAGGAAAAAAGTGCCTCAAACAAAAGCTTGTGCAAGGCAGAGTTTGAAGAAAACACATCAGCAACAAGAAATGTCACTGATGGCACTGCCTTCTCTCTGAAAAAGCAATTATTATACACAACACACACAACACTTGAATCAATCAAGCAAAAATCTCTTTACTTTTCTCATGTGAATACAGGTTTTTCTAAAACCCATTTAAATTAAAATGTTAGATTTCTGTATAAATAGGAGATTTCATTTCTTCATCTCAGTTTCCAATCTCAAGTACAAATTTCACCTGTCTGTTGTAGGCAAAACATGAAGGAAAAAATATGTAAAGGATACTACTCATCTATAGAGGAGTTTGAGCTAAGAAATCTCTTTTATGTTATTTGAAATGTTTCTTTGGAAACTGTCAGTTTTTAACAAAGTTGGGCCACAGGTGGGGTGAGGAGTATTTGTGCTAGTCAAGGAAAAAAAGTCTTGTTGGTGGGCTTAATTTGGTCTGCCTTTGGAGCACTTTTTGAGGTCTGCTAGTATAGACTGAAATGGTTCTTACTGTTAGAAGTATTTATTCCAATAATTCTTTAGTCAGTAAATTTGTGGTTTGGGATTAAACTGAGCAATATATTTTTAGGGCCCTGATTAATGGTCACAGGTGGATTTAACTCCACCTTCTTTCCTCTGCTGTCAGTTTTGGTTTATTTTAAAACGCCAGTCTCCGAGTGCAGGCACATCACCCCCTCACCCAGCCACATCCCAACAGGGCAGGGGACACTGAGTGGGGCAGCTGCTCCCCCAGCTCAAGATAAACCCATTTCCTACTGAGAAAGACAGCTATCCATTACTGCTTAGACACAGTGAATTTTGTTGTTCTTTTGTTTTGCTCTTTTTTTTAATATCTTGATTAAAAAATAAAATTTTAATGTAATGGCAGAACTCACAGGAGAAAGAAATACGAATATTCACAAACCGTACAGTCAGATAAAGAAAAACTGGTACCTTCAGAATGTGAGCTGGCTGCTCTGGTATGACTGACCAAGGAATTCTGGTGTGGAGCCCCAACCCAACATGATCCCTCCATCCTACCATCCTGGAATGGTTTGGGTTAGAAGGGACCTTAAAGATCACCTTGTTCCAACCTCCCTGCCATGGGCAGGGACACCTTCCACTTGACCAGGTTGCTCAAGGCTTTATCCAATCTGGCCTTGAACACCTCCAGGGATGGGGCATCCACAACTTCCCTGGGCAACCTGTGCCAGTGCCTTACCGCCTTCACAGTCGAGAATTCCTTCCCAATATCCCATCTAATCCTGCCCTCTGTCAATGTGAAGCCATTTCCCCTTGTCCCGTCACTGCACACCCTGTCAGAAATCCCTCTCCAGCTTTCTTGCAATCCCTTTAGGCACTGAAAGGTGCTCTAACGTCTCCTGGAGCCTCCTCTTCTCCAGGCTGAACAACCCGAACTCTGTCATCCCTGCCCGGCCCGACCCCTCCATCCCCGCCCGCTGCCGGAGGCGCTCCCAGCCTGCCGGGGCGCCGCTCTCTCCGCGAGGCGATGCTCGGAGCGGCGGCAGCACAAACCCCTTTCGCTCCCGGCTCCTCACGCCCACCCGAAGCACCTGCCGTCCCCTGGAAAGAGAAGGCGCACCGAGGATCGCGGCCCCGGGTCCGAGGGGCAGGATGCCGGCAGTGCCCGGTGTGCGGTCCAGCCTTCCCATCACCTCCCTCCCAGCGCGGGAGCAAAGTTTTGGTGGGTCGTGCTCGCAGCACCGGCAGCTGTCACAGCCCGTGCTACCGAGGGCAAGGGCTGCATCTCCCACCACCCCCCATCCCCCCCCGAGAAGCGGGCCGCCTCCAGCCCGTGCCCCCCGCGGAGGCTCCGCCCAGCCGCTCGCCCCCCGCCGCCCCCGGGGATGCTGCGCGGCCGGCGCGGCGGGAGCCGCGAGGGAGAGGGGAGGGAGAGGAGGGAGGGCAGGGGATCGGGCGCGGAGGCCGCGGGAGAGGGAGAGGGCGGGAGGGGCGGCGGGGGCCCGCCCGCGGCCGCGTACTCCAGCCTTGACTTTGCCGAAGGTGCCGACCCCCAGCGTGTCCCCAGCACGGGTAGTGACCGATCTTCACCCGCCCTCGTGCTTCTGCTTCTCGGCCATGTTCGCCCCCCGCCGCCGGATCCACAATGCACAGGGCGGACCGGCGCGGTCGGCGGGCGGGGGCGGGAGCGGCGGGAGCGGCGGCGGGGGCGGGGTGCGCCGGGCACGGCCCGGAGCGCGGGGGCGGGGAGGGCGCGCCGCCGCCCGGGCCAGGTGGGAAGGGGAGTGGGGATGGGGAGACCTCCTTGGCTCCGGGTGCACCTGCCGGCGGTGACAGCCCTTTAGGACGGCATCCGCCTGCGGGTGACACCCTCCTCGAGTGGCACTGTACCGCGGGGTACACCCTCCGTGCCGCACACCTGCCTGCGGGTGACACCCCTTTAGGGTGGCACTGTTCTTGGGGTACACCCTCTGTGCTGCGCACCCGCCTAGGTTGACTACCATTTAGAGCAGCATCTGCCGGGAAGTGTCACCTTCCTCAGGTGACATGGTCCTTGGGGTACTGTGCACGTGCCTGGGGTGACACCTCTCTACAGCAGCATCAGCCAGAGGTGACAACCTTGGTGCATGTCCATCTTCTGGTACACCCTATAGGATTTCAATGCTCCTTGGGGTGCACCCAGTTTGGAGTGTGCCAGCCTGGGGGTGACATCCACCTAGAGTGACACTGTCCTTGGGATAAACCCTCCCTGCCACACACCTACCTGGACAGACATCCTCCTTGGGGTGATACCACCCTTAGGTTACACCCTCCTTGGGGGTACACCTGCCTGATGGGGACATAGTTCTTGGAGTGCACCCTCCTTTAGGTGTGCCCTCCTTGCAGTGTGCTAGGCTTGGGATGGCACGTGTCAGAGGGCTGCTGGTGGCAGTCTCCTTGGAGTGACACCTGTCTGGAGGGGTGCAGCTGCCTAAGAGTGACAGCCCTTGGAATACATCCTGCTTGCAGTGCACTCTGCTTGGGTGGAACCTTCCCTATGGTGTGCCATCTCTGGGGTGCACCTGCTTGGAGGTGGTATCCTCCTCGGAATGCCTGAGAGTGACACCGTTCTTGGAGTGACAGCCACCTGAGTGCCACACTGTCCTTGGGGTGCATCATCCCCTGGCTGTGAGGGATGTCACACCTACTTGGGAATGCACCCATCAGAGGGTGACAGTGTCTTTGGGGTAAGCCCTACTTTTGATGCTCCTTCCTTGTGCCACCCTCTTCTTGGTGACACTGTACTTGGAGTGGCTTTGCCGCAAAGAACACATTCCCGCAGGAGCGATGCTGGGGGTGGGAAGCATGGCCTTGCATGCACTCTCTGAGGCTCAGCTGTACCTTGGGCTAGGTGACAAGGTGTGTGAGTAGGAGGGACGGATAGTAATGGAGAAACATGGGCAGGTGGAGGAGCAGGGAGGGAGGGGGGATGTTTTGTGTTGGAATGATTGGGTAGTGGGCTGAAGGGCCAGAAAAGAAGTGTCACGTAGAAGAGAAGGGTCATTGTGGGGCAGGTAGTGGGTGTCAATACCTGCCTGGTTGGTTGGTGCCATATCCTGGGTCCTGCATGCTGAGGAAGGGAGACGGCACTTATGGATGTCTCCTTGCTCCCCTTCACTCCAGACTGCAGGCTGGGTGAAGAGGAGACCCACTGTATGTAAGTAAATTCCTGAGCACTGGGAAGAGCTGAATTTGGGGTGATGGTGGTGCTTCCCACTGATGGCACCTGCTGGGCAGTGTATTGGGTGTGATGGTGGATGAGCAGTTCTCACTTGGCAAAGCAGCCTCATGAGCCTTCTTGTGGATCAGTAGCTGTGTTAATGCAAAGGAGCAAAACAGATGCACGGGGAGGGAAACATTAATAACAAGAGCAGTCAGTGCAGCCAGCTGAAACCATCTCATATCTTGGCAGCTCATGAGCTAGCGGCTCATCCTAATGATAGTGTCATACATTCCTTAGCATTTCAACCCTAGGACAGCCTGGTAGGGTAATGTTGTGTATGAAATAATAACGTAGCTGCTCCAAGTGGGGTACTGCTTGCTAGAATTTCTCATTAGAAATATACTTCTGCTGGAAGAAAATTCTATCCTGAAGGGAACACCTATTTAGTGATCTTTTCTGTGATGAAGCTTTCTGTTTTTACTCATTTACAAGACAACTGCAACCCCCCAAAAAAGAAAGCCCTTGCCATGATGCACAACAGTGAGCAGCTGGTGCAGGTGTGTTCACTATAAGGTGCAGTCTGGTGTCCTCAGCTGCCTCTTGCCTCAGTGATGGAACCCCAGTGAATCCTGTCCTGGGACCTCTGTGTCTTCAGAGCAGAGCTCAGGCAAAGCAGAAGCTGCTCCTCAGCTCAGATAGGAGAAATGGGTCTGTTGTTTATGCAGAAGCTGAGATCTATTTCTCTTTCAAGCAATCACTCAATGGACATTTTCAGCCAGAAGTCCAAAAGATTTTCTAATGAAAACAGGGTGTTCTCCCTCTTCTCCTAAGTAAGACATAAACTTTGAATCACATGAATAGTTCACATAAAAAAAAAAGGCATGCTCATCCCAAATAAGTAGCATGGTTGAATACTGAAATTGATCTAGCATATCTGAAAAGTAGTCCTGCCACATTTTAATAGTGTTAATTTGAAGGTCTTTGTTTCTTATTCAGCTACATGAAGTAGCAGAAGGCAGTCACAAAAGCAATCCATGCTCCAAGGTAATAAACAGCTATTTGGGAAGCTGGAACAGTGTGTGTAAACAAAAGATACCTGATAAAATAATAACAAGACTATGCAACTGTGCTATCATAAATAAAAAAATGACAACTTAATTCAACAAATCCAATAACATAAATAACTAAAATAAGAAGCTGGAGGTAGAACAGGAAGGTTGCTGTAATATAAAACCGTGTGTAGTGTAATAAAACCATATCTTTTCAACCAGAACAACAGACATGAATTATGTGAAGGCATAAGAGAAACAGTATTTACGAACAGTAAACTTTAGATAATATAGTAATAATACTATCTCCTGGGAAGCCTGAGAAATCTCTATCATCTTCAGGCAGCTGCAAAGTTGTCAGCCCATGCAAGTCTTTACCTTGGAAGCTCTGGGCTCTCCTCTGCCTTTGCTCACAAAAGCACATGGGGTTTGTTTGATCTCCCCTTCCAGTCCTGGCAAGCCCTGACTCTGCCTGAATGAAGCACCGCACAAATAGGTGTGAACTTGAATGGTGTTTGTTTAATGGTTAAACTAAAATGTTTAACGGGAGCTGCTGTATGAAGATGCACTGTTTTGCCATCCTGCTTGTTTCCTAAAAGTTGGTAACTAAATCCCAGAGCAAACTGATCTGTCGTGAGTGTTTCCACTGCCTGTTATACACATAGAAGCTGTTCACTAGAAACATCAAATTAATATTAATCAGGTTTTTAATTTACAGGATATATTTTGGGGGCTTAAGGTTTTCAGGAGAGTTACTGAAAGCTCTTTGCTTGGCAGCAGACATGTCACCAGGTGGGTGAGCACCCTCCACCCCCAGTTGCCCTGCAGAGCCTGTGATGCTCCTGGAAAGTAGTGCTGGGACTCAGGCTTGAGGATATTTACTTAATTTCCCTCTGGCTTTTAAACATATACATATATGTACATGTATTTATATAACGGATATCTCATTTGCAGACACTGGGGAAGGGAGCTGTGCTTACAGGCAGGAGCTGAAGGGTCTCGTGGAAAACGCTGGGTGGGGGGGTGTTGCTAGGAGATGGAGACTCCAGTGTCTGGCAAAGTGGCATATTTATTTTTGGTGCAGATCACACAAAATGGTATTTGACTGCGAAGCAGGGTAGAAATCTCTTCTCTCTGCTTACGTTCATGTCTGAATGATCTGTCTTTGCATAGTAGCGTTGCAGCTTATTTAAAATAGAAATTAAATTTTGGGTGTTGTTCAGTCCAGCTGGAGGCTGGGTGTCTGCAATCTCCAAGCTTTTTTTTTTTTTTTTTTTTTTTTTTTCCCTACTCATTGAGAAATCCCTTGTCTGAGCAGCAGGATATACGTCTCTGGTTTAGAGGCAGGCATCCTTGCATGCCTTTGGTTCCTTTGTGGCCGGTTGTCTCTTGTTTTTTCAGGCACTGTGAGTTAGCAGTCAATTTTTTGGGGGTTTGGGCTTGTTAAATATATCCTGCCAGGGCTTGTTCTCTCTTGCTTTGCTGCTTGTGCCCCCTGTTACACCCCGGTGCCAGCCGGGAGTCAGCCCCCCCATCTGAGCTGGCTGCACGTCCACCCTCCTCACAGACAGGGACTATGAGATGGCACTGGGAAAGCTGCCCTGGATTGCCTGGCCCTTCACTTGGGGCACTCAGCTCTCCCTGGTGTGCTGCCAGGGCTGGATTTACAGTAGAAATTAGGTCTGAGTGCTAAAACATGGAATGCTTTTTCACCCCTTTGTGGGATGCCGGAGTCCTGGGCAGAAACACAGGTCCCTTGTAGCTCCTGCCAGGGCTTATGCCACATGCTCACATTTTGCTAATGCTCCTCGTAGGCACTCTCTTCACTCAGTATGTAAGGGGCTTTTTTGGAAATGCAGGGCTAAACAGCAGGATGCTGAAGGGTTGGGAGGGCACCAGGCAAACCTGGGTGCTGCTTGTTGCAGCACTGGCTTCATGAACCTGCATGAACTTGCAGAAGGACTCGAAGCTGAACATCTCAAGCTGTGTCTGACTTGTCAAAGGACTTCACCTCAGCACCCTGAACCTGTCAGCCCATTTGGGAAGAGGTTATGATGCTGTATTTTTCCAGTTCAATGTGACCAAAAAAATGTCAGGGATGCTGTGCATCTGTTAATACAAAAGCTCAAATTCGGGGGCACGCTATCTACCCTTGTAAGTGCCCTAAATCTGTGGATTTTTGGTAGGATTTGCTTTCCCAGTCTGTTTTTGGAGGAGATGGTTAATGAGATAATGCAGCAGTGGGTAAACTGTGACATGTGAAATGGGGTTTTTTTGAATGTTAGAGAAACTGCATGCATCAGAGGCAGCTTATGCACATTAGATTTATAACTAAGCAATTCCCATTTATATTATGTAAGTGATGTTATTTATCAAAACCCATGTAGTGTCCAAGAGCAGATGTTGAACCATTTGTGCTACAGTGTTGGAAATTAACTTTTCTGGGGATTATTCAAATTATTAGTTATTCAAATACAGTCCTGTGACTGTAATATAATGTAACAACAAGCAATATTATTCCAAAAATGTACTAGATGTGGATCTGAAGTTGGTTATGGTCTCTTGTTGGTGTTGGGTGAAAATCTGAACTGTATGTGATGCTCCAGTGGGAATGTGTGCTGAAAACTCTCCCCGAATCAGAGTGGTGAAGGAGTGTGATATTTCTTACATTGAAAATAGAACATTTTAAGCATGGACATGATAAACATCCATTTAACGAGGAGTCTGCTGAAAAGAGACTGCTTGCCTATGC